TGTGTGTGTGTGTGTGTGTGTGTGTGTGTGTGTGTGTGTGTGTGTGTTATGAAGGAGATGAGTTATGAGGTAGGAGGGAAAGTCAAGTTGAGGAGAATGATTTCCAGAACTCAGAGCTTGGGAATAGCTACCCTGACTTCCAAATTCTCTGCTAACTGCTGCCTGGTTACGTAGGGCTATTAGGTCGTTAAGCTTCCATTTTTTGTCATCACTTCCATGGGAATCTAGTTCAGCACAGACATGTGCATGTTTGCCAGGTACCAGGGGAGGTGCGCTCAAGAACCAACCGGTGATGTGTAAAGGAGGAATTTGCTATTTGGAAGTACCTGTGGGCAAGGTGTTCCCAATATCTCGGTGGCCCTGTGCTAACTACTTTCCAAGGCCACCACTCCCACATGACTAGGAGGACCAGATGCAGGATGCTTTCCCTGTGCCAGAGCTCCATACCAATGTGGGTCATCACTGTCCCCTTGTCAACCTACCCTGTGTACCCAGCTGGGCGACAAAAGGATGGAAAAACAGTGGGTGCAGGACACACCTAATGAGCTTAAAAAAAAAAAAAGGTAATGTGATTTAAATTCAAAGTGTTTGGGGCTTGGGGTCCATTTTATTCACAGGTGGAGTTCCTCCAACCCCCAAGTTACTCCAGATTCATATTTTAAATTCGGCTTCTCCTCCTGTGTCGTAGGTGGCTGAGTTTGTACAGTCCCTTCTGGGCTGTGAAGAACATGCCAAGTGCTTCAAGAAGGAGGTAATAAATGGGAAAATTAGATATATTTCCGGACATGTCGGCCTGGGAGTGCCTTGTATCCATCTATTTGAGTGTAAATAAGAATAGTTGGAGGGAGGAGGTGAGAGAGAGGAACCCCAGAGGAGCCCAGTGGTGGTGCTGCCTGTGCTTGGACATTCTTACCCTTTGTCCTGCTGTCACATGGTGCTGGCTGCCACACTCTGACGTTTTTTGTGCGGAAGCACACGGATTAGAAAATTAGTGCCTGTGGCAGTTGTGAGGACTTCGCATTGGTGGCTTTAGGCAGCCTTGGGGACAGGGACGAATAATCTGCTCTAAAGTGAGAGTAAGTTGAGCCCATCTCTCTGCCTGTACCTGCTTCAGAATGGACGTGGGAAGCCACAGCATCCTCTTGTGGCATTGATGCCTCCTACCCCCTCATGGTTGGGAATGTTCTCAATTGCTCAGCATTTTTCGAAAGCTAGCAAATTCACAGTCCTAGGGGCTGCAGAAAAGACTGGGTCTGCTGTAGACCGTAGAGAAATAATGATGGTGGTAATTTCTATCACATGACAGCTAGGAGCCGGTACCGTGCTGAGCTTCTTACCATTATTCTTTGTCCTCAGAACACTCTCTGCAAAGGAGTTTACCTTAGAGGTTGCCATCAGGAAGGCCAGGCACAGTGGGAAAGGGGCAGTGTCACAGACTTCCTCTTGGATAACTCTAGAGTTTTCCCTGTTGTTCTTCAGTGCTTCAGAAAGCTATGTCCTGGGAATCTAAAGCATGAAGTCCCTGTCTCCCTTTGAGTTCAGAGCATGCACAATTCAAGGGAAATCTTGAAGTCCTGGGGCCTGGGATCGTCAGACCCCTCCCTGCAGCTTTTGATAGTATCCAACAAACCTCAGGGGTTTTGTGGTTCCACCGGAGCATGCCTTACCCAGGCTTGCACACAGCCCACCCTCTTTGTTCAGTAAAACCCAAGACCGAGTTTGTCTGTGAGTCTGTCTTTCTGATGAATACCAAACCCTTTGTGGGAGTTTTCAAGCTTGATACTTTCTGAACACTGTGGGCAAATCCCTGAAACCCTCTTGCTCCTCCCCACCTAATACACATACTTAGGGATGGGATCTTTAAATACACCAACCAGTGGGTTCTTAGTAAGCAAAGCAATATGGAGCAGAACTAGGTACTGCCTGGGACCCCAGCTTTGCCTCTGAGACTGTGTGAGCACATAGTGAAGCCTGACAGTCCAGGTTTCCTCATCTACCTTACAGAGTCATCAGGAGAGTAACACACAAACAACACGTTATACAAGATTCCTGTATCTCCATAAATGATAGCTGCCATCTTCACCACCACTATCTCATGCTTAGGACACTGACTATTTGGTTAGGGGTTTGTGCCTGAAAATTCAGGTGCTAAATCCAGGTCAGCCTCGGAGAACAGGTAGATGTGTCTTCATCAGGCAGTATTATCATAGAGTTATCCAAAGTTTTTTGGGCTTTTTATAAGAGTTAAAAAGCCTACCCAAGAGCCCACATCCTTCCAGCAAAGGGATCACTGCCATCAGGGAGTGGCCAACTCTAAGAGGTCCCTGCTGTCAGATTCAAGTGGGTTTGCATGCATGGCATTTCATACAGCCACGTGCTTTCCTAACTTGAAGACATTTAGCTATCACAGGAGGACTGAGTGTAGTCCAAGTATGCAACATGGTGATTTGATATGCATGTATACAAGTACCGTGTGCATCCATTTACCACAGTGAAGGTCACTAACGCGCGCATCGCTCCCCAAGACTGGAGCCAAGAGTCCTTCTGGTATCATTTCCAAACGCACTTAAAACTTAGTAAATGAAATAGTTATTTTCTGTTTATGGTATTTTTATTCTAGAAAGAAAACTTGAAAATATTGGGCAGTTAAAAGGATAAAGACAAATCATTATTCTGATAGCCAAATGGGACTTCTAAACTTTTAGAGATAAAATTCTCTGATGTTTTAGTATTAGTTTTTATTCTGATTTGTACGCATGTCCATATGGACACATGCTGTGGTGTGCATTCAGAGGTCAGAGGACAATGTCAGGAGTCAGTTCTGTCCTTCTACCATGAGTTCCTGGGATTGAACTTACGTCATCAGGCTTAGCAACAACCAATTTTACCCTCTGAGCCATCTAGTTGGCCCAAGTTTTCTAATATTTCAAATATGTGTTTACACAGATTTATTTATTTTTAAATCAGAAGGTCCCCATTGTCATAATATATACTTCTGCTTAATGAGTTGTGAGATTTCACAGATCATGGACTGTCACATGGAAGTGTTTTGGGGGAGGGGTGTATTGTATGCTATCCCACCCTACGGCTAAGCTACACTCTATTTCCTTCTGCTGCCCAATGTTCTGTCCCCAGTGTCCCACTACAGTAACACCACACAGAGCATGCTCATGGTGCCTTACGCTCTGAAGTGACATGGTGATACTCTTAAAGTTCTTGATACATTCGAGCCGAAAATCTTGAAAAATAACAATGGAAGTTTGTGCTTGGTTAAATTAATACATTGAGTTTTTATATTTAACAAGCTGAGAACCTTCAAATTAATTCGATTTCTCTATTCTGAGAGAACAATGGAGTTGATTTAACTTTATTCCAATGAAGGAGTGGGGCGATTCCATCTAGCAAGGCCAGATGAGTTCTGTGTCACACTCCAAACCCCAGAAATGCTACTGATGGATAAAAAGGCTCCAGTGTGGAATAATTATATTTGTGATTGTTTCTTTCATTATAGCAGATAGATGGCAGAGCCTTCCTGCTTCTGACCCAAGCAGATATTGTCAAAGTGATGAAGATCAAGCTGGGTCCCGCACTGAAGATTTACAATTCTATCCTGATGTTCAGGAACTCCCAGGATGTCACTGAAGATGCTGCTGTCTCCGGCCAAGAAGCCAGGAGATAAATACACTCCTGAATGTCCACCGGCACCAGGACTTCTGCTTTTTGCAACAAGGCTGGATGTCATCCATTTGAATTTAATGCCCCCATGGTCATACTCAGAAAAGTGTCTGCTTTAGGTGTGTGGTGGACTTCGATAACTGATCAAGTACCAATGACTCTGTCGCTTTTCATTAGGTCCAAGTGTGGGTTTGGGTAGCATCCTTACTTCTCCAACATGCTGGAGAAGCCAAGCCATTGCGCACACATCTCCACTCTTTCCCCTATAGAAGAAAACAGTTTCCATTCTGCAAGTATATCTCAACCTAGGAAAACGCAAGAAAATCAGTTCATTAATGCAATGCGAATGCGTTCACCAGAACTACATCTGAGCACAGCTCACCTCTGTCACCTGGGTGCGGCGAGTCTGAGAGATGGAAGCCTGGTGCTTTCAAGAAGATGTATGAGGTTTCTGTGCCCTTAACTCAGGAAAGTATGAATCTTTTTTAAAAAGTTCTAAAAGCACATTGGTTTTCTCATGACCCACAGATCCTCATTTTTATTCTTTTACCATTCCTTGGTTGTGACTCCAAGGACTGTGCCTAGGAGTAACAGAAGAGCCACTGGAGGCCATCCCAGCAGCCTGATGAGAGTCTCCAAGGACCTGCAGTCAGGGCTCTCTCAGAAGCTTATTCTAACAGCAGCAGTGGTCCCAGACCCACCCGGGAGAAATTCCTCCAGCTCCACGCTGATGAAACTTCAGAATGGACTCCTTCCTCATTTGTTGATGACTCAAAACAAAACAAAACAAAAACTGCAGTACATCAGGTCTGGTGTCACCTCTCAGAGGTGACTGATGAACTAACGACCTCTGGAGAGAAGTTCAGGGGCTGTTGTTCGGCTGAAATTTTCTGACCGGTTCTCAGACGTTAATCATATTTTATAAGTGAACATGTGCGCAGACCACCTCACAATTATGAAAGATTAGACCCTCAAGTCTCCAACTCTTTTTGCTTCTTCACATAGTAACAGCTAAAACTCTCCTCCTGGAAAGAAAGGTTCATCCAAAGGAGTGGGAACCAAGGGGAAGCCATGAGAAAGAATCACCTGACAACATCCTTTGCCACATTAAAAATGATCTTAGTTTAACAAAGTTGATTCTGCTTAAGGAATGTCTCTAACTTTAGGTCACTGGAGAAGAAAAAAACCTCAAAGTGGTGTGTATTGCATTCTCTAAATGCTTACCTAAAGGTAAGTTTAATGCACTATCAGGTGACATAAATTTGTTTCTCTGATATTGTCTTTCTTATTTGTTTTTTTATAGACTTCCATATGCAATAAAAATTCCTGCATCTACTGTTAAAGTTTTAATATATTTTCAACGCTAATAAACACATAAGAGCAGACCCTCCCTCCCTGTCTTACTGGATGTGTGATTATGATCTGCCTACTGTGCAGTCTGCAGTCTGATTTTTTTTTTTCTCAGCTGTTGAAGAACAGAGGTAAATGCATGCATTGCCCAGCAGAGAAGCTGGCTGGGTTGGACTGTTGCATTGTTCCTGAGGGCATATTTTCTTCGGGAAACAGTTATGATGTTAATAGCGAGAAAGACTACATTGGAAGGTTTTTAATTCAGGCTTTAGAATTGTCCAGTTCAAATATATATATTATGTGTATATTTATATCATGAATAGAGCCCAGAACAAATGACACTGAGCAAAATTGGGGTTGGACGATTTTTCCTGGAGGACAATGTTATCAGGTATGGATAGATCTTTATCTATGTTCTCAACCTCAGCATAACAAAAGGGAGAATCAGATGTCTTTACTGGAGGAAGTAATGCCATCATTAAAATATTTAACCAAGCCATGAAGCAAAAGTCACCAAATATGTCTGTTTCTGTGATGTGAATTCTCCTCCCATCAGCATCACTGGGGCAAAAAGAGGTGTACACAGCCAGTTCTCACATGCTGCTCCCAGCAGGACCAGCATCCTGCAGGCACCCTACAGTCCAGCCCCATTCACAACTTCTATCCTTTTTCTTTGATGTCTCACGACAGAGTTAAACTGGGCTTCTTTCTTCCAACCTCTGCATCCTCATATTGGTGGACACAGTCCACCACGCCCTCTGCTCCACAGCCGCGTTCACCATCTCAGTGGTTTTCCTTGGCACCTTAACTGTAGATGATCCCACAGAAGCCAGTGCCTCCTTTTCTGTTCTACTTTCTTCTGTAGTAGAATTAATACATCCTTTTCCTCTTCCTGTCAGTCTAGAAGACGTGTGGCCTGTCTAGAACAGTCATATTAATTGCTGACTCTCTGTGCTTAATGTAGTGCCTGGCACTTACTGGACATACAGCTGTATGCTGTATGAATGGATAATGCAAGACAATCAAACTTGAATTCCAACTTTCTAACCACGTGGGTGGGTGTGACATTTCATAAGGTGGAAAACGGTGCCTACCCTAGGGAGTTTGCTGTTAATTTTGATTTGGAGAATGTTTGCGTGTATGTACATGTGAGCAGCATAGCAAACATAAGATGTTGGCGTTTAAAAGCAAAACAGGAGTCTGCAAAGTGACAGCTATTTTTTTACATTGGCAGTGGAATAAACTTATTACAAAAGAGTGTACATTCCTTCCATGCAAGGCCTTTTCCTCCATCCCCACGTGCCTACCAGTGCCCTCCAGAATGATCTGAATTATAAGAGCAGAAACAGCTTACCTTACCACAAGGATTCCCTACATGGTTTCAGGAGTCACACAGTATCCAGAAACCCACAGATGTTAGGGGCAACTCCCTGCAGCCTCTCCTCAAGTTCTCAACAAGACTGTGACTTTGAGCCACCAAGAAAGCAGCAAAATCATCAATGAGATTCCAAGAAACACAAACATCCATGTTATTAGAAAGAGTTCCCTCACAGGACCATTTGTACAGCACAGCACAAGCCCACATCATGATGCTGGAAATTAGGTCATTAGCAAGAGTCCTAAGAGAGCTCAAGACTTCTCAGACTGTACTCAGGTTGTGATTTCAGATAACGTTTGCAGATATAAACTTCTCACTCGCAACAACACTAAGACATTCAAAAACAAACATATCCTTAACAATCTCCATACACCCCCCTTTTTGTATTAGACACCTGACCTCATATAGCCCACACATGAAAAGAATCTTACAGAATGCCAGTCCAGAGACGGAATCTATGATTGCATGGGACCCAAGTGTTGCTATCTCTCTCTTGCCAAATGATGACTTTCAAATGTTCTGGGATTTCTGAGGTTTTTTGGTTTTTTTTGGGGGGGGGGAATTTTTTTTTATTTTTTGTTTTGTTTTTTTGTTTTTTAGTTCTCTCTAGAGTTACCTCCAATCACTTCAGTCAGAGTTAGCGTCACTGAGGTAAAAGGAAGGATACTTGGATTTGGAGCAAGGCCTGAATTTAAATGGGATTGTACACCTTGAAACATTTGCTTGATCTCAAACTGCTTCTTTACCTTCCAGCCAATGACTAGTTTTTCCCATTAATTCACTTGAGTTTTTGTTCCATAACATCTTAGGGGATTCTTTGTCTATTGCTGTAACTCCTAGAGGGAGCTGATAAATATCATCTGGCACATGAAATGCGCCTGTGAATATATTCTTATTATTTGAGAATATGTTCTCCATGTATATACTCTTATAAATCCAATCTTCTTAAAACCTACTTTCATATTAATATATGCATGAAGAACATGTTTGCTAATAGATTCTTGAATATTCAGAATCTTATAAATGGATTCTTCCTATGAGTGCATTTGTTAATGAATAATATATTGAGAAGAATTTTTAAATTGTAATCCCTGATATGCTCCCTCAAATTCCATCTCTCTTAGTCATTCAGTTACCAGTTATACTAGAAAAGTGGGGCTGCTTCACCTTTTCAAATGACTCACTGCAGACCAAATAAACATTGTTCAATTCAAACTTAAGATTTAAACAACAACAACAAAAATATATTGTGACTGAGTCACTTGGTTAACTGGTGATTGGCAGTTACATTTCTCAATAAAATCATTTGCCTCCCAAGACTTTGCACCACATATTCTCTTCAGGAGCATGAGGGATTTTGAATCCAGTGACTGGTCAGATATAATCCTGCTGTTGGAGCTGATTGTCACAGCAAGGCAACCAAGAGGACATCTGGACAGCAGTGAAGATGACTCACAAGGGATGACTCAGAGGGCTGGGTATATTGATATCAGGTGCCATTCTTCTCCCAGGGACCAAGATGCATTGAGCAGCAGTACCTTAGGGGCTCTACCCTAAAGGAAAGGACAGGGGAAGGGTTGTGGGGTAAAAATGTTCTAAGAACAGTCATCAAAATTAGGAAGGAAAGCAAAACATGTGAGAAATGATCGTTTGAAACATCGAGTAAACTTACTTTTCTCCAATTGATTCCATTTCGTGAGCCCGGACTAGTTGTTTTGTGCTGTTTTGCTGAAAAGGCACCACCCATCGCTTGCTCAGTTCCTTCTTCTTGAAATTAGATTGCGTTCCCTTTGATGTAGAAAGCTAGGCATCAAAGCAAATTGATGCATGAAGAACAGAGTACTAAGGAATCTCAGGTTACACCAGGGAGTATGGGGGTAGATTTAACTGAACACAGGAGCCTCTTTACATTGTGGAATTCTGGGATCTGTAAGCTTTTTCCATAGAGCTATTGGCTAACCTTACCAGGCCTTTATCTGTGTCGGCCAGAAGAACACAGACTGGGTATTTCCAAAAGCACAGACATTTTTTTTCCCCAGTTTCTGAGAGCGAGGCATCCAAGGGCATGCCCCATACAGGCACATGGCGAGGGCTGTCCTGCAGCTGAAGACAGGAGGACAAAAATAAGAGGGTATCGGGAGCCACGTTCACTTTTGCAGTTGTTCTGCACCCAGGATGATGACGTTGGGACATGAGTGAGGGGGTGACTCTTCACTCTGCAAGATCCAGTCACAGCAGAGCAGGTGCGGGCCCCACCTGCAGAGCTGTCCATGGTG